TGGTGGGGGCAAGAGGAGCTCTCCACCAAGGCCCTGCGCACCCCACCCGCACAGGCATGGAACAGGCAAGCGCCCCATGCTGGCCGGAAGCAGGATCACAGACACCTGGGGTGGGGGTGGCGACTGAGGGAGCATGAGGAATGGGGGAGGGTGTTCTATTTCTTATTCTGGGCGCTGGTTATGTGGGTGTGCTAGGCTTGTGGGAATCCACCGAGCTGTGCCACCTGTTCAATATGTTCACCCCTCTGTGCGCCCACCTCCCCCACTGCGATTCCAAGCCCCAAGACAGGCTTCCCAAGGCTGCTCCTCCTCAGCACACAGGCCACGAGCCACAGTTTCTCCCAGGGGGCACTGGCAGGTCCAAACCACCAGCTTTTACATTAGCAAGCAGTGCCATCAGGCCCCCCTTTATGCACATAGGGGAATAGGCACGCACATATACCGAGGAGCCTGGTAACACAATGGGTTAAACATTGGGGTGGTCACCAAAAGGTCAGCAGTTCAAACCCACCAGCTGCTCCACCGGACAAAGGTGAAAAAGTCTACTTCCTTAATGACTTACAAAAACTTGGAAACCCCAGGGGGCAGTTGTACTCTGTCCCATAGGATCACTGACTCAGAATTGACACCATGGGAGGGGGGGGCTCCAGAGAGCTTGTTGGGAAATGGAACTAAGAGATAATGAAATGTTGCCACAAACGTGTGATGCTCCTTTGTATGTCTGTATTCACATTCTAAAAGGGAAAAGACCCAGAACAAAGAGCAGAGGAAATTCTTCCTGATTGCTCCAGGCGAGGAAAACTGAATCTGAACATAAAGTCGGTAAAATAAAACTCAAAGAGATTCTTAAAAGATGAAATAAATTATTCTAGAAATGAAATCTTTTTATGAAAGGAAAATTGGAAAATGCAGGAACAAATGGAAGACCAAAGCAACATCATTACTGAATGAATTAATATGCTAAAAACAGAGCTCCCCACCTAAATCACAGTAAAACAAGTCGTTCAAAGATAGCTGTGAACAATTTTCTAAAATCAAAATTACTGACACATAGAAAAAGGCTTGAGATCATCCCAAAAATACAGATGAGAAAAAGAAAAGAAAAGCAATTGCAGGGTAGTGAATGGACTTAGGCGACAAAGTAATTGGTACAGTAAGTAGAATCTCGGCCGCCCCAAGACACCCATGTCCTAACCCCTAAAACCTATGAATATGTTGAGTACATAGCAAAGGAGAAGAAAGGATGTAGGTGGGATTCAGGTTACTGGTAGGGGCACCAGGAGTCAGATGGCCTCAATGGCCATAGGTTCGGTATTCAGTCAGCTAACCAGCAGCCTGATGGTGCAGTGGTAAGCATTTGATGGTTAACTGAAGGGTGTGTGTGTGGGGGGGGAGGGGTTGTGATTAGAAGCCACCAGCCACTTCATGGAAGAAGGATGTGGAAGTCTGTTTCCATCCTCGTTACAGCCTTGGAAACCCTATGGGCAATTCTCCTCTGCCCTGCAGTCACTAAAAGTCAGGGTTAACTTAACTTGGCAACAGGTCTCCTTTTCTTTGGTCAAGAGGCTGACCTTATAATAGAGAGATTATCCTCAATTACCAGGATGGGTCCTATGTCCTTAAAGGTGGGAGCTGGGGGCAGAAGAGTGAGTGGCAGAGTGATGCCACATGAAAACGATTTGAATGGCATAGCTGGTCACAGCTAGCTTTGAACATGGAAAGGGGCCTGAGCCAGGGCATGTGGAGTGTGGCAGGAAGGCCCTCTAGAATCCGAAAATGGCAGGAAAACAGACACCCCCCCCCCCACATTCTGGAAAAGAATGCAACAGTGTGGCCACGTTGGCCTTTCTGACCCCAGAGCTGTAAGTTAAAATATTACATGTGTCCTTTCTAGTCACAAACTCTGTGGTCATTTGTTACAGCATCAACAATGGAAACTAACACAACTGGTGTCTCTGCAGTAGAAACACTAACAAATGTAACAGAAGATACTTTCAGGGTGCAACAAAGTAAATGTCCCTGCAACCTTTATACGCAAAACTTGCATTGATTGATCAAGGGTAAGGTTGGACAGCTGACTATTGTAATTACGATCAATAAACTGTGCGCCCAAAGAAAGTTGAATTTGCAAGATATATATGATATTCAGACTACATATTTGTATATGTTATTAGAGATAGGACGTTAGACACACAATATTCACCTGAGACACAACTGGGTTAAGCTAATGAATTGTAGGTCTAAAAGAAAGAATTCTTTGGAAACTCAGGAAGAAAAGGCAAATCACTCAATGAGGGAAAACACTGGGCCGATGTTGACTTCATGACAGCAAAATCCAATGCCAAAGCTGTGTGGTAGGAATTACAAAGTGCTAGGGAAAGAACAAATCACCCAAGAATATGATACCCAGCCCATGTAGCATCTGAAGGGAAAGGCCATTCCCAGGCATCCTCAAATACTAGGCAGTTCCGGAAACCCAGTACTGTGAGCCTCCCCACACACAACTGAAGAGAAAACTGAGCTAATTAAGGCACACTGCAAGACACACTCCCAGATGCAAAGGAGCTGGCTGTGGGTGCTGAGCCCTTTCAAATGCTGAATTAGCACTGAGGATGATGTGAGGATGGGAAGTTCAGCTACAAAGGCAACAACTGGCTGCCCACTCAGGCAGTGGCAGGTGGGGGAGAAGGAGGTATGGAGGTGTGCCTGCCCTCCGTGAACCAGCACAAGCAAGTCTTGTTTCTAATGCCACTTTTTCACAATTATAATGTGGAGTTCACATCTTCCTAGTTTTCATCGTCTCTCCCCTTAGTGCTAAAGAAAGCAATTTTCAGTAAATTGAAAGCTCCCGAGAGGCCGTTCATGATGTTGGTCCTAAAGCCAAATAGAAAACAAAATGTTTCCCCAAACCAAAGCCAAACTTACAGAGACCCTATAGCACAGGGTAGAACTGCCTCTGAAGGCTTCCAGGATTGTAAAATTTTACAGGAGTAGAAAGCCTCATCTTTCTCCCAAGGAGCAGTTGGTGGTGGTTTTGAACTGCAGACCATGCAGTTAGCTGCCCAACATGTACCCACTGTGCCACCAGGGATCCCCAAATAAATGTTTCACATGAGTATCCTTGTAGCCTGTTGTTTCGGGCTTGGCCTCGGGGTGACCCAGGGGGCAGGCTAGACCTGGGCCTTCTTGGCACTGGTTGCCAAGCCTAGCTTCTGATGTGCTCAGGAGTGGATTCAAATCACCAACCTCTCTGGCGTGGGAGCGCACTTAACCATTGAGTCCACGAGGGTGACTTTTAGGCCAAGTCCTCCCCTATTGTGTCAGGATGGCTCCTCAAGACAGGGCCTGCCCAGGGACTTCAGGTTGACAACTCTCAGGAGAGGACCTCGGAGCCCTCCCTCTCTCCCCTGGCTCTCTGCACTCCATGGGGTGCCCCATGCTGCCTCCTACTTCACTGTTCAGGCTAAGCTCATCCAGTTCATGCAAACTCTCCTTAGAAAATCCGACCAGAGAGTAGGGGCTTCCCCTGTGGGCTTGTCCACACCACCCCATCCCCCATCCACCCAGCTGGCTTGTCTCTCTGTGCCTACAACGCAGGCTCCTCTCTGAGGGGACCAAGGACACCGATGGCAAGCCTGGGGTTCAGACAGGCAGCAGCAGGCTCTGGGCTGACACGTTCGAAAAGGAGAGCACACGCTGTCCTGCCTCAGCTGCACATGCTGGCGCCAGCGACCTGGCCTTGCCATTGGCCCCCTCTCCATTCTCCAGCTCAGGTTTCTGGGTCCTTCCTCCCAGCAGCCCTTACCTCTCCTTCGAGGGGCCAGCATAACCAAGCCCCCTCAGGCCCTCTCCAGTCTCAAACTTCAGGGCATCCCTGCGGGGCTGCAGCACCCCCACCCCCACCCTCACCCCTGCGCTGCTGCTGCTGCTGCTCCTGTGAACAGAGCCCCTCAGCAGCTAAGCTCGGCACCTTCCAACGAGGTTTCTCCGACCATCCAGGCCGCAGTGTCAGGCCGTCTGGTCCTTTCCCTTACAGGCCTGCCCACCAGGAGAGGCCAGCGACTCATCTACCCGCGTCCTCGCTCCCCCGCCCCCACCATCTGGGTGCCTGGCTCTGGATGCTCCGCTCCAGACGTTCCAACCACCACTTTGGTTCTGCCCCCAGCCGGGGTCCTGGATGCCGCCAGCTCTCCTGCCCGGTCCCTGCCCCCGCCCCAGCATCCACGGCCCACGATCACTCACCAAACTGCCGCGCACAGCCCCAGGACGAACTCCCACCCAGGGGCCTGTCCGCTGGCCTCACATCGCTGGACGACAGGAGCCCGGCCCAGCGCTCTCCACCTGGTGGCCCCAGCGCTGCGCCCCAGCCCTTCCTTGCACCGGGCCTGCTCCCCAATTCCAAGCCCCTCACCCACAGACTCTGCTCCCGGAGCTCCCTGAGCCCCGGGGCTTAGCACCTCGCCCTTGGCCCTGGGCCACCAACCCTTCACCCCAACCCTGCGTCCGGTGTCCCCTGTCCTGCGCCCCTCGCCCTCGGCCCTGCGCCCCTCGCCCTTCGCCTGGAGTTCCAGATCCTTGCGCTGGGTCTGCGCCCCAATTCTAGCCCCTCACCCCCAGGCCCTGCTCCCGGAGCCCCCGGCCCTGCGCCCCCAGCCCTTCGCTCACGAGTCCCAACCCTTCACTCCCAGCCCTGCGCCCTCCGACCCCTGTCCTGTGCCCCAGACCCTGGGTCCTCGACCCGGGCCCTGCGCCTCTAGCCCTTCCCACCACCACCACCCACCCCCACTCCCCCGCCCCGTCGTCCCCAGTCCCAGCTCCACGTCGCTGACCCGCGCCGAGTCCCCTGCACACTCAGTCTCACGCTGCCAGGCGCTCGCCCCTCCACCCCGACCGGCGTCCCTTGCCCCCGCCAACGTGTCTGGTCCCATCCCCGCGCGTCCCGCTCGCGCCCCCGGCCCCAGCCCCGCAGTGGCTCAGGCCCCGCGCCCCCGCGCGCTCACCTGCCGGGTGGCCGTACGGGGACTCTGCAGCGCCGTCCTGCAGGCTCGCCAGGATCTCGCCCTTGCCCACGTCGCTGTCGCCCACCAGCAGGAACTTGAGCAGGAAGTCGTAGGCCCGCACCGGGCTGGCCAGCGCGTTCATGGTGCCGCGCTCCGCGCCCCGCGCCATGCCCGGCCCACGCGGAGCGGCCGCACCAGCGGGACCAGGCTCCGCGTCCGCGCCCGCGCCACCCCCGCCGCGCTGACAGCCCGGGGCCCCGCCCCACCCCGCCATTGGGGAGCGCCAGTTGCTAGGGCGGCTGCGTGCGGCGATTGGCCGGTCTGTCCCTCCATCTTAGTCTGATCCCGCCCACGAGCAGACGTCGACCCTCCCTTCAGCGGAGGAGGCTGCCGCCGCAGCCAATGAAGCGCAGGGGAAGGGGCAGAATGGGCGGGTCCCTTGACAGATAGTGGGCGGGAAGTGCTGTCTTCTAACCAATGGTGAACTGGAGGCGAGGTCCCAGGAAGAGATGGGTGGGTGGGGTGGAGGCGTATCCAATAAAATGGGGGCGGGAACGCTACCCCTGCAGCCAACGGGGAGGCTTTATTATGGCTTGAGGCGGGGTAGGAGGCGGGGCCGGATGTTTACCCTCCGGCGTGGGGCCAGTAGCCCCAGAGTTTTCTGGTCCGGGAGGGGAGGCGGAGCCGGGCAGGCGGGGGCGGGGGCGAGGGCCCCTCCCGCCGCGGCTTCTCCGTGACCGGAGCCAGGAGGTTCAGGTGTGGACACGCCCAGCCATTGGGCGGTGTGGGCTCTTAGGTAGAGGAGGGTACTCAGAAGAGAGAATGGGCGGTGGGCACGGAGGCTGGTGCGTGGCAGGTGCGTTGTGGTCCCCACGAGAGCCCAGGGGGTCCCTCTAACGCTGCTTCCCTTCCTAACCCACTGTGGTCTCTGCCCTAGCCTGCATGTCCGTCCTCACGAGAGGAGACCCCCAGACGCGCTCTACACCTGGGGGTCCACCCCAACCTGGAATGGAGAGCAGTGGCCTACTTTGACCTCGCGTCTTTTTTTTTTCTCATGCTACCACCGCACAGCAGAGCTCGTCGTTGACATACACTGTGAAGTACTATACCACTGAGTATGTAAACGCTAGTGCGTATTGCTTACATTATTTGCAAGCATCGCTTTAAATTAAAAAAAAAACTTTAAAAAAGGTTTACAGAGCAGATCAGTTTTCCATTCAACACATAGCACACCTTTTGTGTAATGTTGTTGATTTCTGCCCCTGACATCAGGGATCCCACTTCCTCAGGCATTTCCCATTTCAGTGCCTCCTTCCCTCCCAATCCCTCTGGACTGTGCCACTTTAATCACTTTTTAATTGACTTTTGCACTAGGGGCTGTAAAATGTTATGCTACTGTGCCCCCAGCCCAGGGGCAGGCCATTCCTCCAACGTTGGATCTTCAGGTTGTCTCCACAGCTCACTGACAGCTTCGTTTAGACCCCGTTTCTGCCTGTAAGGGTAGCATGCCCTGCTGAGGTCATGTGGCACTTTGGAAGGGAGTGGAGGGTCTCCCCATCATGGCGGCTAATGTGAAAGCCGAGTTAGTGTCTCTTGGGAGGATTGACGCTGGTGAACACCAAACCTGCCCATCACTTTCCACATTAGTTTATTTACAATTTCCGGGTGTAGGGAGAGGCCAAGATGCATCCCAGTCAGCAGATAGCTAAAGAAACACTGGTGCGTTCGTCCACTGGATGCTGCGCTGTTGTGACTTGCCGTCCAGGCTAACTCCCGGTGGTTTAGAGTAGGATTGCTCTGCAGGTTTTCCAAGATGATGGTGGGCTTTTGAGAGCAAATTTCCATGTCTGTCTCCCAAGGTCCCGGAGAAGCAATGAAGTACCCTGACATGGCCTTGTAAGTCCCCCCAAATGACTGAGACTATGCAAATGGGTTACTTGTGGCCCCTGATGGGATTGGGTAGCTTGCTAATAGTGCACATGACGTGCAAGGCAGCCTTGTGGAGGTTGGACCACGGCTCAGAATGAGCCATTCCCAGTGTGGGGGACCAGCCTCCACAGCCCAATGGGTCCTTGGAAGTGGTTGTGTCATTGAGGGGTAAATTAAAGAAATGACAGACAAGACATGCAAGTGCTCCACTCTCCCATGGCAACCGGAACCAGAGTGAGGGGAGAATGTGTTCACTCACAAGCTTATATAATCTCAGGCACGCAAGCCACCTCACACACATACTTAATGGGAAGAGGACGAGCTAGAGGTGTACATGCAATAGGCAGGGGAGGTAGTAGAGGCATACATGTGGCAGGAAGGTACCCATATAACAAGATGGGAGGGTTCTAGAGTTAAGATGGCAGCCTAACCTTGGTCTTTTGAGTGTCCCTGAGCTCTTCTCCAGGGGAACAATCTATGATCCTTATCAGAAGGGAGTGAGTGGGCCCTACTTAGGGTTAGATCAGTGGTTCTCAACCTTCCTAATGCCGTGACCTTTAATACAGTTCCTCATGTTGTGGTGACCCCCCCCAACCAAAAAATTAATTTTGTTGCTACTTCATCACTGTCATTTTGCTACTGTTATGAATCAGGCAACCCGGTGAAAGGGTCGTTTGACCCTCAAAGGGGCCGGGACCCACAGGTTGAGAACTGCTGGGTTAGATGGTCTGATTGCTTTTGATGGCAGATAACCTTCAGAAGTATAGTAGCAACCATGTGCTTTAAAGCAGCACCTTAAAAATGGCATTATTATGGGTTGGGGGGGACATCGTTGGGAATAACTTTTACTTAGGAGAATGTGACTGGGATGCATCTCCGACTCAGGAGTGTGAACTTCTCCCTCCATGAGGGTGTCGGCCTCTCAGACGCCTTACAATATGAGTGTAGAGAATTTGTCCCTGTTCACGCTCTTTCCGGTTTTCATTTTCACACACCCCAGAGATGGACCAAGGGCCTGACAATCACCAAGACGAAGGGCCTGGAGAGGAATGAGTCCTTTGCGCCTGGGGTCCCTGTGCTGGGAACCTCTCAGACCTTGAGACAAGAACTGCAACACTGCACAGCACAGGCATCCAGAGATGGCGAGCAGCCGCAGCAGGAGGATCAGGGGACCCCTGTCCCAGGAAAGCTGAGCGACTTCAGGCAGGAGGCTTGCTGGTGAAATTAGGTGCCTCTGGGTACTTATCAGTGGAGCATCAGAATATTAGAATGTTTGCCAGACTCCCTAAGAATCCCAAGTCTTGAAGGGGTCAGGGCCAGGGCCAGGGAGAGGCCTGTTTGTGGGCATGGCTGAGAAGCTGCTTGCCTGACCACCTGTTTCATGAGTGTTTCCTGATCCAAAATTTCAACCTGCTACTTTCCTATAACCACGAGTCTTGTCTGTGAGTGCTTTGCGGCCACTGCAACAAATGATTGAAGCAGAGCAGCCGATGGGCCGTGGGAGGACTAGGTGGGGTGCGAGTCAGTGAAAAGATTGGGAAGAAGAGGCAGGTTTGCCCTCAGGATTCAGCGTAGGATTCATCCCTGGGCTGATGCAGATGGGTGGGGTTCTCTCTCACTGGTGAAATGAGAAGAGGTCAGAGACCCATAGCATCATTCTTGCAGTCCCTCTGGGTGGGTTTGAACTGCCAGTCTCTCAGTAGTTGAGCAGCTTTTATTGTTCGCAACACCAGGGACTCCCCAAA